CTAGGTAGATAAAATCACAACTTATTATATCAACTCGTCATCATATAGCACAAGCAGCTATTAACGAGGTAGTAGTAGTACTAATAATAATATAGTTATTGCATGTTAGGGTAATCTGAATCCAATAGAGGGTGTTGTTAGTGCTATTGTATATGAATCGAGACTTCCTACTTCTATTCATCGTCCCTTATGGAGAGTTGTAAGTAGGATGAATAATAATGATATAATTGATTATTATTATTATTATTATTAACGTAGATAGGAGTTGGAGATCTACCAGACACAGCATGGGTTGAACAAAGAGGTCTATTCTCATCATCATCATCATCATCAATGGATGATTATATATCTAATGGTACATCTATGGAGGGATGGTTAAAGGAAGTAATAACATGATTATTATTATTATTATTCAGGGCATTAATATTATTATAACTTGTTGTTGTTAGGGTAATGATATATGTAATAACGTCTTTCGATGGTTATTATTAACACATAATGAAGATGTTCGGGATATAATACCAACGATAACATCACCACGACATGCCGATACCGATGTTGATGATTCGATGATAAATGTTGATATAACAACAAGGATCCCTACAACAACTAATGATGATAATGGACTTAATAATGATGCTATAACAATGGACAATAATAACAGGGTAGTAAGAGTAGAAACATAAGAATGATAAGAACATGACTATTATAATGGTAATAGGTACTCTCATTGACTGATGTACGATGGGCATATATAATATTAAAGGGTTATGGTGTATGGCGTGATGAAGAAGAAGAAGAACATAATGATGATTATCATTATTATAGTAGTAGTAGTAGTAGTATTCCAATGTTGATATCGCCTCTAGTGTTCGCCAGACCTCATTATAGGACGGATTTCCATATCATTAATTGTATACCTATTATTCATTCCACTACTAATACTATTAATAGTAACTATATATTTGGAGATATTTCACAGAGTGATTCACATGAGGGTAGGAGAAGGGGGAGGCAAATGGAAGGGGGTTATATTGATAATAGAGGATCATTATTATTTGTGGAAACACCGTCATTATCAACATCAACATCATCATCAACAACAACAGAGGACTTCTCTATTGATCTAAGGCTGACTACACCAATACTAGCTGGTGAGGAAGTATTCTTACCAGCTAGTAATACCTTCTCTAATGCATATGCCTATTCTTACAGAGGTATATGGTTACATAGGAATAACTCACGTATGAGTCTTAAATTGGTCATACCCTATAGCCAACCAGTGCCAGAAGTAAAAGAAGAAGAACAACAACAAACAAGTAGAAGAAGAAGAAGAAGAAGAAGTGGAGAAAATGAGAAGGTCCAGGATATATCAATATGGAGACAATATGGATGTCCAGTTGTTGTTGTTAATGATTATTATGATGATGATACTCACGGGTCCCCCTTCGGGTCATCATCATTCTTATCAATGAAGTTATGGTTATCAAGAGAAGATGGTGTATTGATGGTAGATGATAGATTATTACCATGCTTTAGATTGTATTCTCTTATACATCATGGTTATTATTATTATGATCATGATGATTATCATGTTGTTGAAGAGGAAGGAGAGGAGGAGAAGGAGGAGGATAGTAGCAAGAGGCTATTCAAGTTGAATATGACTTTGAATAAGAGATTGCCATATAAGTTGGAATTATATGCTGCCAAAGCCTTATTAAAGAGTATTGAGAATGGTGATGTTAAGAGGATGATTCGATCTAGTAGCAGTCTATTACTACCAAAAGAGGGTAGTAGTAGTAGTAGTAGTGTATTGAAGGATAAGAGTCTACTACAAGTACCTGGTATTGAAGTTAGAGAGGTAGAGGCTGGTTTATTGATACAATTGGTTAATACTATTAATGATTATATCACTATTATTGATAATATATATGATGACGATAATATACCATCAACACGTGATAGTAGTAGTAGTAGAAGGAAGAGTAAGGTTGATGATATTGATAGTAAGTAATATCTAATATCATGTAATACTTGTAATAATACTGCTACAATGATATATTCCTTATTCCCCTTTTAACATTGTTATCATTATTAACCATCATTTTCTTGCCTTAGTTAACATATAATAATATCAGTTGTGGATAGTAGAATATTACTTGTTACTATGTCATCGTCATCATCATCATCATCCTACGTCAATACCCGTCATCATCATCATCATCATCGTAGTAGTCGTAGTGATGATGATAGTTGGGATAAAAGATCTAGAGATACATTATCACAAACTACTCGATCTGATGATAAGCGGACTAGGAGTGGAGGTACTATGTGGAGTCGTAGTTCTCCAACACGACGTAGGAGCAGTAGACAACGACAACGACAACGACGACGATATGATTATGATGATGATGATCATAATACTGGTAGTTATAGGAGTAGTAGAGAGGTAATAATACTAGTACCAACAGCAGAAACGGTGTGAGGTGTATTATTGATGTAGACTAATACAAGTAGTAGTAGAAGAAGAAGAAGTAGTAGGAGGGATGAGAATATAACATCAATGAGAACAACAATGGCAACGAGCACCGTATCCCTCTCTAGTGATAATGATCATGATGATGATCATGTTGCTGCTCATAGTAATGGATCTTACTACTACTACTGTGATCCATTCATCATTATCACCACCATGACTACATGGTGATGTTGTTGATCAGAAGCTGCGGTTGCTAATGCTGCAGCAGTTGCTATCGCTGCAGCACAAAATGTGGCTAAAACACAAGAGAAGCATGAGTTAGAGAGGAGGATAGCAGTTGCTAGGGTAGTAATACTAATAATAGGTTCATCATGATCATGATGATGTTGAGGAAAAGTGGAGGTATTCAGGCTACTACTACTAAGGGCTCTAATAACCGTCGAACAGCAGCAGCAGCAGTATTACCGGGATTTGCCAGTATGAATGATGATGATGAAGATGATGATGAAGATAACAGAGGAGCGTTACCTCCTAGTAGTATAGAAGGTAATGGACATCACTCAGGAGAAGGTAATAATAGTATTTGGAATTGGAAGTGTATTACTTTTATTATCATTATTCTTGTTATAGAGTCTACTACTACTACTACTACTATGATATTGTCATCATCATCAACATCAACAACAACAACATTGCCTATACATACAACTAAAACTAAACAAATGGATGATTTCCTAGATGGTACTTATTATTATTATTACTATAACTATCAATGGGGTACAATGTTTCAGAGATTAAATCACGTCATCAACTTCGTCATGAAGTTGAAGTTATAAAAGATACACTTAAGAAGGGTACATTAACAGTAGCTGAGGAGTTACGGAATAAAGTAATAATATACCATCCATCACTAGTCATCATCATCATCATCATCATCTAGGAACGTCTTAGTACACTACAGAGTCTACTTGGTGGTATAACAACATTACAGGAATCAGAAATGATAGGAAAAGCCATGAGAGGGTAGTAATAGTACTAATAGTAGTAGGGATAGTAATGAGAGTTTGATGATGAGGTAATATTATTATCATCATTCTTATTAGAGAACATAGTGGTGATGTTGATTATTATGATGATGATGAACAAGAGACTGCTAATCTATATATTGGTAATTTACCTTTTGGTGTTACTGAGGATATGCTTATCAAAGAGTATGGTATATATGGATCAATGTAAGTAATAATAACAATAATAATGTTCTTCTTCTTCTTCTTCTACAAAGTGTTAAGTGGAATGAATCCTTTTGTTGCCTTCAGCACGAGTGTCAAGATAATGTATCCACGAACAGATGAGGAAAGATCTAGAGGGTAGTAGTAGTAGTGATGATAATAATACTTATTATTATTATCATAGTTATGTACCAGCATTCATAGCATTCTCATCAAGAGATGAAGCACAAGCTGCCAAGGATGCAATGGAAAGTGGCCCTTGTACATTTGGGGGTGCTATGATGAGGGAGACTGTATTAAGGTAGTACTACTACTAGTACTAGTACTACTAGTACTAGTATTATTATGATAAGTATTATTATTACGACTTGATAGAGTAGGATGGGGTAAGGCTATGAACTCGGCTCAAGTTAAAACAGCACAACGTAATAAGAATATGTTAGTACAAGTAGCCCAACAACAAGAACAACAAGGAGAACAAGGAGAAAGGACTGCCATACAAGGGAGTACTGGATCCACTCTAGTAATAGGTTATACCTTCAATACATTACTATTATCACTATGCTTGTAGAGCTCTTCCCATCTATTACTACCATCATCATCACCAACATCACCAGCAGCAGCAGCACTACTATTCTTGCTAGTTCACTGCACTGCTCATCTAATTTTTCCCAACCCAAACCTGTAATAATAGTGATATTACTACTACTACTATTAATAATAACAACAACAACATCCATTATCGTTATCATCACCATCATTATCATTATCCTTCAGAGTCGTCATATACATGTGGAGATACCTAAGTCTGATACACATAGATCATTGATAGATAAGATCGCTAGAATGGTAGCTGATAATGGTCGTAATGTTGAACAAGTAATAATAATACTCATACTCATCATCATCATCATTAATGCTATCCCACTACTATATAGTAGGTAGCTATTATGAGGGTACAGGCTCGTAATGGAAGGAAGGAGAAGTACTACTACTACGGCATATCATCATGTATTACTGATCATCATTATCAGGTATAACTTCCTCTTCGACTATGACTCTCCTGATGGTCAATATTACCGTTGGCGAACGTATTTACTACTATCACTACTCTTATAATCATTATCATCATTGTTGTTGAAGTACTATCATCATCATCTTTATAGATTTGCCTATGCTCAAGGGGATAGTGGTTCACGATGGAGGACCGAGCCTTTCATTATGTGTCAAGCTAATCCTTTATCTAATGATCCAAGTAATATTAGTATAGGAATCACCATCATCATCATCATCATCATCATACCCTATCCTTCTTGTTATTATCCTCAGCTGTACTATGGCATCCTCCAGCATGTAAAGCATTAGAGAAGAGAGCATCATCATCATCATCAACTCAGCAACATCATCATCATAATAGTCATCAACCCTATGGTACCACTAGTGAGTCTGATGATATGCTTAAACGTAATCCACCATTGTTGTTTATAATAATGAGTTGTTATTATTATTATAATGATGATGATGTTGATAGGTGGTCCTGGTGGGAGATCTCGTATTAAGATAGGTGGTAAGGCACTATTACCATCAGATAAAGCACTATTTATGGATATGCTACATAATCTAAATAATACTAGAAGTAATGATTATACTGATCATGATCATGATCATGATGTATTATATATATTGTCTTCGTGTGATACTCTGTCTTCTTCTTCTTAGGGGACTCTATTAAGGAAATAATGGTATGGTGTATTGATCATACTGATAGTAGTATAGAGATAGTTGATATTATAGTGGATGAGATAGTGAGAGATTCCAACGATGATAATAATAATAATAAAGAAGAAAAGGATGATGATAGGAGCACAGGAAGCATGATCAAACAGATAGCATTATTGTAATAAGTGAATGCTTATTACTAGTAGTCTTATAACCACTACTACTATTACTACTATCATCATCATCATCGTCGTCATCGTTATTATTATTATCATTGTTGTTGTTGTTGTTGTTATTGTTGTTGATAGGTATCTAATATCGGACATACTGCATAATAGTGGATGCTCTACTAAGAATGGTGCTTGGAGTTATCGTACACAAATAGAAGGGAAATGTGCATTGATAATGGCAACATTTGGTAAGAGGTGCAGAATGAGAATGAGGAATAGGAATAGGAATAAATCATTTGTCAATGGAGGTAATAATAATAGTAACAACAAACATGTTCATCATCATCATCATCAACAACAACAATGATAATAATAATGATGATTGTGATAATAATGTATCAACACAGATGCATCATCATCATCATCATCATCAACAACAACAGCAGCAGCAGCAGCAGCATCAGAATTATCATTATTATCAACGTTAGAGCTAGAGAAGTGCTGTAACGTGTTGAATGCATGGGAACAGAATGCTATATTTGCTCCTGAGTATTTGAAAGGGTTAGAAGCTACACTAATGAGGGTACCTAATGATGATGATGATGTTGGAGATAATGATAAGATAGAGTTATATACCACTGAGGAAGAGAGGACTCGACACTTCAGTCAATTAGAACGTTATTGTCGGAATAATGGTAAGTGTAGTAATCTGATGATCGTTGTCGTCGTTGTGGTGGTGTTGACTGTTAGGATTATTAAGAAATGTATTTAGGTCTATTATGGGAGTATCCTCATACTATCACTGATGCTGAAGATAAGAGACAATGGCTTCTTATGCAGATTGTTAATGAAAGAGTGTAGTGAAATAGTTATTACCATTATTATCATCATTACAACGTATCTTTACTAGTATCATCATTCCATATAGGTATCATAAGAAGAGTATTACGAGTATAGATGCTGGTGCTCAGGATGATGGTATAGATGGTGAATCAGTTGGTAGTGATGATATCAGTATAGCATCATCATCACTAGACTATGATGATGAAGATGATGAGGATATTGATGGTAGTAATTAATAATACTAGCATATTTATAAAACGCTCCCTAATAGGTGAAGCGTTGTTGATATTACCTGGTGATGGTATTGAGTATGATGATCATTACAACTACAACAACAACAAGAAGAAGAAGAAGAAGCAGCAACAACAACAACAACAACAACAACAACAACAACAACAACAACATGATGATGATGATGAGTCTTTAGATGGATCCCCATTATGATAATATCTTTTATCACGTTTCTCTTCCTATATTATTATGGTTACTATTAGCAGTATGATGGTCGTTGAATTAGTAGTATTAGTAGTAGAAATATTCATATAGCGTCATAATATTTCATTGAGTATGTATATCTTGATATTGCTAGTAGTGCATAATGGTTATGACTCACTCAATGTCCCCTGAAGTCGTAGGACGGCAACAACAACAACAACAACAACAGCTATCAGTAGATACACCAAACTCCAACTCCTTGGAATATGGTAATAATAGTATTAGCTTACTAGTATGTGGTAGCCCTATTAGTATTATTGCTTATTATTAGATAACTCTGGATACCATGGTACGGGAGTAGTAGAATTCACTATTCTACCTCATACGAGAACAGATAGTAACAGCAGCAGCAATGATAATGATATGGACGAAGTCTACACAACCAACAACAACAACAACCACAATTTGTCTGATAACTCTAAAACCTTTATTAACTCTCTCCTTTGTTTTATGGGAAGTGGCATATTAGGTAGTATTATGATTATTGGTATTATTATTATTATCTACTTAATTGCTATAGCTACTGTATATATCCATAAACGGCTTCCAGCGGCCAGCAGAAGTGGTCGTCGTCGTCAATATTCAGTGATTATGATTAGGTTTGCCACATGCGTTCAACGAGATAGGTCTCATTGGTGGTATTATTATACTATCGTTTATTGCAGGACTAGCACTTCATTGTATGTTATTGATAGTGCATTGTCAAAGGTAATAGCAACAACATCATCATCATGATAATAATCATCATCACGGCATAATATCATTATCATTATCAGTTATCTAAGAGACAATAGAGCTAAGCATGCAGTGACCTATGGTGATATTGGATATTATGCATTTGGCAATATTGGCACTTTATTGGTTGATATATGTGTTATATTAACTCAGGTAAACAAGACCATCTCCATCAGCAACACATTAGTGTTTCACTCTATTATTATTCCTCCTTTGCTGCTGCTATCTTTGCCGCTGCCTCTGTTAGACGGGTTTTGCTGTGGCATATCTTATATTTATATCTCATAACCTATACGATACGATCCTCCATCATGGTGGAAGCAGCTTCCTAACAGATGATGATGATGATGCTACTACTAATACTAGCAGTAGTATGCCACTATCACGAGGGACCATATTACTCCTTATATCACCACCTCTAGTAACAAGAAGATGGGACATATAGTTGTTTCCCTAATACTATTGTTCTTATATTATTAGGTCATATTATCGTGGTTACGTCATTTGAAGATGTTAGCACCATTCTCACTATTAGCAGAAATAGCTGTAATAAGGCTAACCCTCCCTCTCCTCCCTCTCCTTTATTATTATCAGATCATATTCGCCTTGATAGCACTATTCATCTTCGATATCAATAGTATAATAAGTCAATTATCACAAGATGCCGATGTCGTTAATCAACAACACCAACAAGGAGTAGAAGATAATACCACTATTACTACCAATAATGCTGTTGGTGGCGAGGAGGAGGAGGAGGCTCCCCAAGATGTCACCACTTTAATACCTTAGTAATACTATTATTACTACTATCATTGTCATCATCATCATCATCATCATGATCAGTAATGTGAACTGGTGGTTAAACTTATCTCGATTACCATATTTTTTTGGAATATCAGTTTATTGTTATGAAGGTGTTGGTATGGTGATGCCTATTAAAAACAGGTATTAGTAGTAGTAATAGAATGAGCATCTACATCTACATCATTATCATCATCCGTAAGGATCCTATAATAATCATTCTTCTCTTCAGTATGCAGAATCCATCATCATTCGATCGTATTTGGCGACTCTCGATGATACTCGTCACCACTGTGTAAGTCATTATTGCTCATCACGCTCCTCACCCTACCACTCCTACTATTCGTCATTACTCTCATTGCGGAGCGAGCGAAGCAAGCGGATCATATACCGCAACAACAGGCAGCACTTTCGCGTTGTGCGTGCGTGCAGAATTATTCTGGCTTAACTACGAAGCGTAGGAGGCCACCAAATAGATCAAACGACTCCTCTGAGTGCCGAGATGTAGGCAAAAATCGGAAAATCCGATTATATGAAAAGCTCGACGAGATATGCACGAAAAACTTTAATGATGGAGAAGTGTTCTACCCAGGGATCGAACCGGGGACCTATGTAAAATTCATTGATTGAATCCATGGACGTGGACTCTGTGAGCTCCGCCCCTTCGTGACGAAGGCCTAGTGATACATACTCTCCCTTTGCTTCCCCTTCTCCTCTTCCTATTCCTTATTATCAAGATACTGTGCTTTCGGTGCCCTGGGTTTATTAGCCTTCAGTCATTATTCGTATATCGACAGTATCATAACGAGAGCATTACCAAACGACACTATACTTTCTCCTCTAATACAGGTAGTAATAGCAGTGTTATTCATGTCTACAGACTAGTACTACTATTACTACTTCAGGTATCGTTGTGCATTGGTCTCTATCTCACTTATCCTCTCATGCTCTTCCCCGTATTTGAATTGATGGATGTATTCTTCAATTCTAATATTAGGTTATATTAATATCAGATTGATGCAGACTCCATTCACGACTACAACTACCTTCCATTGTCTATTAGGCCATACTTATGTTCTAATGTAAGCAACAACAGCAACAACAGCAGCCCAGGGATGTATTATCACTTACTCACCCATTATATCTTCCGATTGGGGTAATAACAAGAGTAGTAGAGATTTCCTCTATTCAGGAGTATTGTTGCTATTATATTAGATACGTATCGTTAACAGCAATATTGGCAGCATACATCCCCAACTTTGGAGCATTTATTTCCCTTGTCGGAGCCAGTGCTAGTGCCACATTAGCATTTGTAATGTGCATCACGCCTCCTACTCAGTCTTTATAATCATCATCATCATCATTGATCACACTCCTACTCATGATGATGATGATGATGCAGAACTAATCTTCTTCACCCATTCCTCCCCACTCCTACTTGTAGATTCTCCCACCTGCATTCCATATCAAGCTACGAGGACGGGAGTTATCAAAGTGGCAGGTGAGTACTACACTTACTCATGCCATTACTATTAATGCTGCTGCTCCTGCTCCTGCTCCTGCTGCTTTCCTCTCTTGTTATCATCATCATTCAGTATCTCCGGGAATTGGTATGCATAATGATAGGATTTGCTGGTGGCATCATCGGTACGGTGGAGGCTTGCAAAGATGCACTGTAAGATATTATTTAGCCCAGTACTTGAAATATATTCTCCTGCTGCTGCTATTGCCGCTACTGTCATCTATTCAATCGATCATTATTATTGTCATTACTCTTATTGACACTCTTATGATCCAATGGATATTCCCTCAGAGGAGCTCTACAAGGCCAGGATGTTGAAGGTTAACATATCTGTATGATTGTAATCCTATTCTGCTCATTGCTGTTCTGTTGCTGCTCTAACCTGCCTATTACGTAAGTTGTCGGCATATTGATGGTATCGGCAAGAGTTATGTTGATGTTGGAGGATGGTTCCTTTCTGATTCAGAAGTTCTGATGTACAATTTGACGTACATGAAGAAGAAGAAGAAAAACTACTCTCTTTTCACAGTCCAAAGAACACCTTGGCACAATTACTCATGGGTATGTAATTTTCGAGATGTCTGGGGGTATCTGCAAGCATATAATCTGATGAGTAATGAAGATGTGAGGAGAATAGGTCCCAATAGGTTGTCGTTTCAGTTGCTTCATCGTCCGGTGTATTCCTGGTTAGGGTTATATAAGATGTCTTTCGAGAAAGAGATGATCGACATGTGTGTCGTTCAATATTGTGTTTCGTTATTTGTTACTACTATTGTTGTTGTTGAATAGGAGGATGGTGCTCAGGAAAGGGTTTGTTGATAGTAGTAAGTGGGTCGCCGGTTTATGTCCTTAGCAAAGCAACAACAACAACCTCCTGCGACAGCGGTAAGCCTGGAGAATAATCAGAGTCTGCCAAATCAAGTGCTCTATGTTTGCGGTAACTGTGGAAATGAGCAGGAGTTGAAGCTAATGGCAGTAGTACTATTGTGGATGTAATAGCTCTATCATTATCCTATCAGGATGCTATCAAGTGCAATCGATGTGGGCATCGTATCCTCTACAAGAAGCGTCAACGCCGTGTGATGATATTCGATGCTCGATGAGTAGCCAGCCCCTTGCAGCAACAGCAGCAGTAGTAGTGCTACTACAGTATTCATCCCGTTACTTACAACATTTATTGAATTGTGTATGACATCATGACAGGTCACGGCTGGCCGTAAGTGGGGCTGAGGTGGGATTGAATGCACCCAAAATTTGACCTCGCAGGTTCGTTGCCGATAGTCTCTTGAGCAATTTGATGTGTCTCTATGCTGTTTCTAGACATCAGGATCGAAAAATATCACCCCGTGAATTTCTGCGCAAATTTACCCTGCGAAGTAGTGGGCGCGGATTCGAATCCCAGGGTCGTCATTTCATCAGAAGTCCACTTTACCCTTTATTAATTACCACACAACTCTTTGAGACTCCATCCTACAAGAGCGAATGATTTCACAAAAAAACTGGGGAAGATAGTACTTCAAATCGTTCCAAAAACCTTTCATAGAGGTGTCCCTGGATGAGTACCGCTATCGTCACGACCTTGACCTTTAGAGTCGAAATCGCTCTGTTCCTCAGAGACTCTGAATCTGCTTGCTTCGTCCCAGCGAAGCCCCCAGTTGTACGCGACCATACAATCGACTAGCCGATCGCCCAGTAAAGGACTGTCCGGATTCACCCTAAATCGCAAGTCCCAAACATGCTGTAGCCTGGCGTGCAGGGGTTCGCCCGATTGTTCTGAGGACAGGCCCATTCCCGCATCCGCTATAGACTCATACTTCTCCAGGTAGTCCTTAATGTGGTCGCAGACAATATGGACCTTCAAGGTCCACGTAAGCCCACTCGCTACCCAGATAGTACGAAAATGCTGAAGATATCGTTCCCAACCGGCACCTCGGCGTAGGCCGAAACATTCATCTTTAAAGACCTTGAACGCCCTCAGAGCCTCAACCTTCGAACGAGTATCGCGTCCTTGCTTGAAGGGTATCCTACCGTCAGCAACGGCATCTAGGAACTTTCAGCACTCATTGCCTTCAAGGTCTCCCTTGAAGTATTTGGAGCGCCTGATTCCATTCTTGGTTAGAGCATCCTCTTGCTTCAGGGCGAAGGCATCAGTGGCGCCACCAGGGCATACTTCCTTGTACACATTGTTGGTTATTCAAAGCAACAAATGGAGGGGAGCTAAAGCCAACCCTTCCATGGGGGTTTCCCGCCAACTCACGCATGGTTCGGTGACAACATTGTGCTCACCGTTCTGGAAGTCGGTTGAGTGGCGCTTCCACGTACGACAGGGTTGGCCTTCCCCAGTGCAAGGTGAACAGTTCACCGTGAACTTCAAACGATTTATACAATCAGCATCTCCATCGGTCACGATGTTGAGCAGAGCAACAATTTCAATACATAAGCCAAAGGGGGTCAAATGGGGAGGTTCATGGCGTTCAGTTTCGAGGCTTAATGACTCACAACGGAAAAAAGGCCCGAATACGACCCACTTCTCGTTCCTGCACTCCTCCAGACCGCCATTCGGGAAACGAATACCTTGACGACCAAGTATAGCACAGAGCTCCCTCGCACTGTCTTCACCAAGACCAAGATGTCCAAGCCGCAATAATCTCTAGCACCTAGAGAGGGGAAAGACAAACCTTTGCATCGACTCTCCCATCATAGCGAGCTGGTGTGATACCGATATACCGGTGACCATCCAGCTTGACGCCTGTCCGCAGGAGATTCTTAGAGCTCTCGGAACCACCAGAAGAACTGGACGTGAGCGATTCTCGGAGCTGCTCTTGTACAAGTTGTTGTGTGAAGCCTCTAGCATCCATTCTCCCAGCAAACATCCTTCCAGCTCCCTTAGCTCGAGAAGGCTTCTTCATGACCCTCCCACATAGTGAGTCGTCATGATCAGTAATCGGCTGGCAGCCCTTAGAACATATAGGCTTAGGAGGTGACTGTTCCCAGGGCCTTCCCTTTGGAGCATTAGAATGCTTCGCTTGCACGCAGTTCGACTTCTCGTCTACAACTATTGTACAAACCTTACATGGGGACTCTGCAGAACAAGCATCACCACGAGTTGCTACCACATCAGAGTCGAGCTGTAGAGCATCAACAAAGAAACGGCCGCTCTCCTTCCACGACTTGTACGAATCCTACAGTGATGAGAACTCTCCTGAAAAACGCAATCCTGAGAGCATTCTCACCTTATCGAGCGTGGCTTAGGAGCACCCGTCAGAGTGACCGTGGGAGCGCTTCTGATCGTATTCAATTGAACGCGTTTTTATCCACGCCTCTCCTAGGAGAGCTCCTGGATTCGACAATAGTTTTTTTGGACACCCGGTCTGATCTAATACCACTCTGACAGAGATAATTCGCGTATGCGAAGCCATGAAGACTAAGATGACAGCGAATTGAACTTGGCATCATCAAGAACTGGCTCGATCCTAAGGTCATAGAGTTCTGCATGTTTTCTACCAGGAAAATTCCCTCATTCATTCTGATAATAAACCCGAAGTCATCATTCAACACATCGTACAAGCGATGTTGACTCTCTCAGGTCTGTAAGGTCCAATTCACTAGAGCGAACTCGAAAAACATGTTCGGGCGCATTCCGAAGCTGAGCCATGTGTGCATAATTGGTGGTTTCCCTCGAATTATACAGTTATCGGAGCCCTAGAATTCATGCTGACCGGCACGTTATTGAGAAAGATGCCGTACGCTGCATGGTCCATATTAATGGTGACAATTCGAAGAGGAAACTCTTTGGACTATATCCTCTTCGGAAAATTGCTATCGCTTCTTGATTACCGCATTGGACGATAACTCGAGTTTTCAGCTGGCAATGACCCAGTAAGGACAATGTCGTAAGTGACGCAAGTAATTTCGGATGCCATATATCCTTGTGCGTGAGGGTTGGTGGAGGCTGGTTCCAGAAGGGCCGTTCTGACATCCTGGCGTAAGTCGCCCAGGCTTAGACACCAGTAGTGCCAGACTCCGCCCTTCCGCATGAAACCAGCGAGACCCGTTGATGCATCCAACCCTACTAGGATAGCTGAATCGATGTCGACTCGAGAAAGAAGCACTGGATACGATAAGGATTGTAAACCTAGGTCAAGAAAGAAGCTTAAAAAGAAGTCCAGGTCTTGACGGAGACCATTCGGACTTCTCGTGCGCTACTCTACATAAAGCTGTTGATGCGAATGCTGTACAATCTGGGGTCTCGGAGTCTAGCCAGTTACTCAACTCGGACGTTTTCTTGGAGTTGTGCTCTCCTGACCCCATTTACAGTATCCAGTATCCGCTGGGGAATAACCCGTTGAGTAATATTTTCTGCCCTTCTCGGAGTATCCGAGAGAGTATGTATGAGGGTGCGGCTCCTGTGTATGGGGCCTAACCTCCGGGAGATATCCAGGATGGAGGGATTCTGAGTGAGATTGATCCGGGAGTAGGTGTGTCCGTTGAGCAACCAGCGGGTTCGCCACCAGAGGGATTGGATTGATTCGAGAATCATACTCTGTTTCCTGGCTTGACTCCTTCTCGGCATTAAAATGTTGACGGAAGACTGAGTGCTGCATTCCATTATAGTTACGGGATACCGTGGGTTTCGGCACGGTCGAGAGATGATCTGACGAAGACCTGTTCGTTGCATCATAGTTTCGAGAAGGATCGTACTATCGTTCGGCGACTAGAGTAGTTGGGGTTACTCTCGGCATATTTTCCGGTATTTGAGGGTTATTAAGCCGTTGGTGGTATCGTTCGGTTAACGCCAGATGAATACTCTCGAGTAGCAAGCATCATCGATCATTTCCCCATCTTGAACCTCAACTCCCAGTCTTCACCTTTCACCCTGTCTCGTTGACGTTATAAGGGAGTCATTGGAAGTGGTCAAGGTTTATCAGATCGATCGGCTTTGGGTCGCAGTTAACGTGGGATTCTTCTGTTCATTTTTACCTGGCGTGTTTTTCCCTATGTAGAAATTCTGGGCTTGGAGTGTGCTTTCGCTCATGTTGGAAAATGAGTATGAGAGGAATATTCAGTATATTCACATCCGGTCAGTCGCTATTGGTTCTGTCTGGTATGGAAACGTGAAGTGTATCGCCTGCGAGGTCCGTCGATGAGCAGTCCTCATCCTTCGAAGGCATGTTTGAATGGTGCTTTCAGAATGCTTGTGTCCCTCGCGAGGCATAAGTTGCCTGACAATGTAAAGGATGTGATATCCTATATCAGCGATTTTCAGGGATCTGCGCATTATTTTGCTTGGTATGTATATATGAAACCTCGCATGGATGGTGTTGTGATTGGCTCTGGTTCCTACGTGGGTCTTCAGAGCGGCTCCGATGCGTTTCTGAGAGCCTGCATAGTTCGTGGGTTCAATTCGCAGGAACGGAAGCGTCAACTTTTTCCGCCACCACAGGGACATGAGTCACACGTACTAGGATTAGATCGGCTTTCGAATGATCGTTTCCGTGCTAAGAAATCTGATGTGCTTCTCCCTCCGTTATTTGTCATAGAGATGGAAGGGCGTACTATTTGCCATGTTTGTAGGAATATTTCGAATGTTGTGAATGCGCATTTTGACCCCATAGGTTCGCATAGCAATTTGTTGTTAGCTATGAGATACACTCTTCGCTTTGAAATTACTAAGGGCTTAGGGTGGCATGATTTTGCTTCCGTTGCTACTTGGGAAATTGAAAGGTTGATGCAGCTGTTTACTGATGCACCTATTATCCTACAATTACTGGTACATCCCTTGCTGATTCAGTAAAACCGTGCCCCATTCTCACCCTATTTGATTAACTACAATAACATTTCAGCTTTGGTTAGACTACTTAGGTCAGTAACGCGACGTCGAGTCCTAATGGTAGAAAACACATCGCCGGTGCCGAGCTGCTCAGGTCTAGGGGTGAGATGAACAAAGGTTAGGCCTTGTGAACGATCTCAGATCCGAACAGCAACAGCAGCTAATCGGCTATGACTGAAGAGCTGCTTACAGCCACTGATTATCAGTAAGGCTGAAAGCAGATCCAGACACACTCGGGCGGGGCGGGAAGGGCAATCAATTCAATAAATGGCAACCAATCAGTTTTTGATTCTGAACCTTCCAGTGAATGACTCACTTAGCCTCATTGTGTGTTGTGTGAGCCATGTCCCGTTGCACAAGATATGGTCACTTTGTGACTTGATCTTCGGGGAGGGTGCGAGACTTAGCTGGTTTTACCATCATTAGCATGCTAACTCGAATAGAACCGTGCCCCATTCTCACCCTATTTGATTAACTACAATAACATTTCAGCTTTGGTTAGACTACTTAGGTCAGTAACGCGACGTCGAGTGCTAATGGTAGAAAACACATCGCCGGTGCCGAGCTGCTCAGGTCTAGGGGTGAGATGAACAAAGGTTGGGCCTTGTGAACGATCCCAGATCCGAACAGCAACAGCAGCTAATCGGCTATGACTGAAGAGCTGCTTACAGCCACTGATTATCAGTAAGGCTGAAAGCAGATCCAGACACACTCCGACACTGGTGATGGGCTAACTAACTTTAGTTCGACGGGGTAGAAGGTTCAACAGGCTTTGCATCAAGGCTTTGCCCAGTCAGACGCTTTGAGCGTCACGCTTAGGCCGAGATAGTTGATGGTACCCAACACCATTGTGGACCTTGTGTTAGACGAGGTGAGCCTTCTGTAGACATACTGGCTGCATAGAGGTGAGAGAACTTCTCGGTGACATTATCCAAATAGCGTTTATAACAGTGAGACGTCCATCTCCCATATTGTTCTATGAAAAGATCGTTATACCCTGCTCGCCAAAGAAGGCACGCTCCAGTCCTCCGCAACGAGTGGGTTCCCCACTGCTCCGAGTTCGGAGAGCCTTTTATGAACCCGAAAATCAACTTGATACCTTCAAGCCAGTCGTTGTAGGTGAGGTCCGGGAAAACAGAAGGGGAGGGGGGACCCTTGAGGGTCCGCGCATCCTGCACAACCGATTTTGATTCTGCGGCCTAGCCCGATTTGATCGGTTTTACTTTTCTTCAAATTGATGACAACCATGTCAACTTGTAGAGAGATGTCTGCTCTGACCAGCTGCAACGTTTCACGTGCGCGGAAAAGACCGAAAATTGCACAGAGGCTCGCTACCTGTATGATTTCCAGGTCTCCTCTCAAGCCAGGGACAAATGTCAGTCTACTGAAGCTCTTAACCTCTTCGAGGGAGAGAGGAGTTTTCCTGTCTTCGGCTTCAGGACCTAGAGCCCGCTTCGCGGCCCGTAGGGCTGCATTCAGCCCTTGTTCAGCGGGGCGATCTACGGAGAAGCCGAGGCTGGCATTACATGACCGAAGTGCTTTAATGTAGGTCTTGATGGACGAGAACTTATAATCTTGTCTGCCACCTGTTTTATTGGTCATGGCACACACAAACTGCTGTAGGTGCTCAAGTTTGAGAGGGAATGCCGGTTCCGGCGACAGAAAGTTTGTGTAGATTGAAACGACGCTCTTGTAACTAGACCGCGTAGTAGGTGCCAGAGCTCCTTCGAGGAAATTGGCTAACAAACCACCCGAAGGACGTGCACATTGGAGTACTTTTGCTCTTCGATTTTGAGCGAATCGACGCAACAAACCTGAAAGTAGAGTTTGAGTATATTGGAACACAGTCAAGTTAAACCGAGCCAGGCGAGAGGAGGCTCTATACGAGACCAATCACTAGGCAAGTTATCAGAAAAGCCTCGTGAGAGACGATCGGCAATTAAATTCTCTTTCCCATCTAAGTGGTGCACAGATAGATAGGGAATCAAAGTAGGTAGATACTGAGCTGCTTTCCTCAAGAGCCACATTAGATGTGGCTTGCGGCTGAACATCCTTCGGACTATTTTAACAGTGCCATCATTATCAGATTGTACAATTATGGGGGAATTCGAGGGCGCTGTTGACCAATAGAGGAGGTTGTCAGAGTAGAGTATATATAGTAACATTAGACACCGCAACAGGAAGACTCCAGTATCGCCATGATCGATTGCTTAAGGCGAAACCGGCCAAGGCTTGCAGGGAAGCATCGCAACCCACGAGACGGAAAGAGTCTGGAGCGAGACTCACAGTGCTGGGGATATCGAAGAAGAGACTCTGTGGTGAAGTACCCCGGAAGAATTTCTCCAAGAAACGTAAATCATCACGAAGCATACGCGGTAGCTTAGCGCGGCGCAACTTTTTGCGCTCCATCATGCAGATAGACTGGAAGGAGGAGCCCAGGTAAGGCCTCAACAGAGGGTAGCATTGTAATGCCCAGACCAGTTTTCCTGCTAGACTTGACAGCTCTTTGGCTGCAATATTCCCTCTTGAGAGAAACTTGTGGATAAGCGATATCAGTTCAGATATTTTTTTGAAAGGAACAGTGATCGAGGCCTGCGGGCGATCATGGCCGAGACTAAGTTGAAAGCCAAGGAATTTGGCACTCTCTCCACAATGCAGTTTGGAGTAGGCAAGAGTACAACCACACATGCTCCAAATCAATACTATTAGGGACATAGCCGCGAAAATGGCATATGGTATAAAAAAAGAATCTGAACTCTGGATCTTCTTTAATCCTTTCTACCGCGAAAATGGTATATGTCGGCTCTTTCCGAGCCGACATATAACATGTCGTCCACGTATAATAGTCCGGACACGAGGTCCGAGCAAGGAGACAAGGACCATGTTTGTAGAAGCGAGATTATCGCACGATGTATAGCTCCTGCAATTCTTGAAAAGCAGTAGGGAGAGTTGCGGTGCCCGAAGGGTAGCCGCCTACGCCTGTATAGTTTCCCATCGCACCGTATGTTCAAGTTAGGGGCTTCTCGGGGGCTAACACCGACCAATCTATACGCACTCTTTATATCCAAGGTGAAAGCTCTCAATGGAGTCCCTGCCTTGGTGCTTCTTGACATTAGCGTCCGGATCAACAACTGGATATCCGAATATCTTGGCAGACAGACAGTTTGAGAGAATTTGTGAGCCTTTTGATTCACGTGACTACGTCGATAGTCTTCGACTACCCTAAAGTGCTCAGCTTTCTTTGACTCTTCGGAATCCGGACAGCTGGCCTTGGGTATCAAGGCCACAGGTGTGACGACTCCTTTAAAGTTGTCTCCCTTCCCTAGGCAGGCCATTCTACCCAAGGACACCGGACACTCTTCTTTAAGGATTTCCTCGAGAAATTTTTGGTTAGTGACGGCAGATTGATAGTTGGTTAACACAAGCTCGACTTCCTTTGTTCGGCGAGGCTTTGCCTCTGGCCAACAATCAGAGAATGGTATAGGTTCGTTCTGGCCGAGAGAACAACCCTCATCAATCTGTTGTAGTAAAATCTCAGCTTCCCCTTCGAATTCTTCTCCGCATAGAGAGAGCAGAGCAGCGATGAGGAAAGGTCTGAGTGGCGAACCAACCCGCGAGGTGGCACTATTGGCCCCCAGTAGTGAGCAGGTTGGTCCCAGCGCAATATTAATAGCACCATCAACTTTGTGATAGAATGTTACCTCTTCCCCCACTGGGAAGTTCTGGGAAGAACAGAGCTTGAGAAGACGAGTCAAGTCCAACAGTGGAGATGGCTGAGGTGAGGATTGCATAGAGATTAGAAGTTATACCTTTGTTGATAGGAACCGCAGAATCCTATGGTTTGGGAGAGTTAAGGCCTGCACCGGAAGTAAAATTCTGGCACTGAGTGATGGCCATATCAGAGAATGCTTTTACAGCATGATTAACAAACTCAGAGACATGTAAATTAGTCAAGTTTCCTGCCCCATTATCCACAACGTCAGAGACTTTGTCATGACGAAGTTGGAGGGGCGAAACTAGTTTTTTCTGGAAGGTTCTGACTTACGAGAGGCGCTGGGCTCAGCTTTTTCATCAGTGTCATAGAAGGAGCGACCAACCTTAGTCTTCTTCAGTAGGATATGCTCAAACGGGCACCGTTCTCCTCTGTTACAGTCACCCGTCTGGTAATAGATGCAAACTCCACGGTCAGAATCCTTCTGGCTCCTTTTGTTGTCCTTTGATGGCTCCTTGGGAACTTTATCGTGAGCCTTCTCGAACAAATGATCGACATCTTCAAGACCACCGAACTGCGCGGAGATATACAAGGAAGGATCCAAGTCACTGTGCAAAACCTCGGAAATAGTATGGCCTTGTTGATGATATCCTATTAGAGAGCCACGATACTTGTGATCGTATATGACAGCAGCTTCAACGTTTCGTTTTTCAGCTAGCTGTATGACTTTGAGTAGGTACTTGAACATAGCAAGTGAATTGACTTCTGATTTATTGCCACAGACCATGAAAATTCCTGTGCACCATCTACAATAGCACTCAACCCACTGCGGCAAAGACGAAATTTTACGGGCCTTACCTGTGCGAATGGCAACAGTCTTACCAGTATTCACGTCTTCGGCTTGCTGAATGCCTCTCCTCTCGGTAGAAGCCGCGCTCGCCAAAAACTCGGGTGCTGCGATATGATCATACGGAGAAGATGCCAAACGGTTGAGTAGTCGATAAGGGGGGACAAGGGTCGCTGGTACTTTGATGTCAGGACCAAACCTTGCTTGTATGTTGTTGTTGAACTTCTCGAAATCTTCTTTCTCTCGTTCAGACTCAGCCTTACGGCGTTTCGCCGACTGAGCGGCTTTAGCCCGATCCGCCAAGGTGAGAGCATAAGGCTTGAAAGCCTCTCGGTCAGCCTCGGCAACACGATTAGTCATTCTTTGAATGACTTCGTTGGACACATTAGACAAGAGCAAGGTCGAGAGGATTCTCTCTTGGCTAAGAGAAAACCATTGCAGTGGATAAATTATTAATCAATTCAATAAATGGCAACCAATCAGTTTATGATTCTGAACCTTCCAGTGAATGACTCACTTAGCCTCATTGTGTGTTGTGTGAGCCATGTCCCGTTGCACAAGATATGGTCACTTTGTGACTTGATCTTCGGGGAGGGTTCGAGACTTAGCTGGTTTTACCATCATTAGCATGCTAACTCGAAGTATAATTTATTTGTTTCCTGATTCGAGCATGTACGCGTTCGGCAGTGTACTATTGACTACAGCATTCGTCTTTATCCGAGGCCGTGGTCGGTTGATACCTTCTAGCAGGATGTCGTGGAGCATCGTCAGGAAGAAGCTGACAGCATGCGATGATGTGATGGAACTGTTTACTGAGACTATTGCACTGTGGAAGGATACTGATACCGATATCGATATCACCGACCCCAATTTTTTACACTGATAGTGAGTGTAATTTCTACCGTATTAGAAGGGAGTTGGAAGCTGTGAAATCTGACGGAGTGAGCCACAAGGCTTCGATGCCACTGCCAGTATATGAGGGCAAAGTTATTTAGAAGATAGCTCTTGCATTGCATCATTCTGATGATAATGTTCTCTACTTGCGTTCTTATCGAAGTTGGCTTTGTACAAGCACAAACAGTGGTACCTACTCCGCGCCCGCCACAGTTTTCTCCGCCCGCCATTTTTCTCTTCTCCCGCCACTTCTTTCTCCTTTGTACCACCAATTTCTCCTTCGCGCTTCTGAAAGAGCTAGGGTGCACCTGCCCTAGATCAGCGACCTATTCCAGCTGGTTCGAGTGACTCGAAGCTCCGAATAGTCTGCAGATTGGCTCGACGTACGGCGGATCGGGAATCGCCCCACACTTCACTGATCAACTAGGCCCCTGCGTGCGTTGACGAGTCAGAAGAAGCATCCGAACGGCTGGAAGTGCTAGCTTTGGCTCAGCCAAGTTGTCAATCGGTCCCGAATTATGAGTCCGAAATTGCAGAGGAACGGACTATCAGCAACCTATTCGAGCCAAAACCAAATAGGCCTTTCCGTGTGTTGATGAGTCAGAGAAGGCGTCCGAATGGCTAGAAGTAGTTCTGCCAAGTTGACAATGGGCCATGAGTACAGAGAATCCTATTCGAGTTGGCAAGAGTCAAGCGCAAAATAATCTACGACTTTTTCAAACGCAACGTGACCTGGGCAACTGTCAATTAGCCGCCAATGTACATGGCATGTACAGTATCTCCCATGCACGGTACACCTCAGGCCTACTCAATCTTTACCTTCTTCTATGGTCGTTTCCATGCTCTATTTCATCGATGGAATACTGGCGAATCCCGTTCGCTTCTACTGGTATTTGTTGTATGTGACCCATAGACGAGACGTACATACGTTGATGCTTTGCCCACCTGTCAACGTGCTTCTACTCCATTCCGTTCACAATATGGTCTATTGCTCGCCGTCTGAGCGCCTCACATAGAGGCCGTATGGGCCGTCGGTGGACGCCATTCTGGACCAATAATTTCCAGCGCTTCAATATCTCGCATGCCGCTGCGGGACTCAAGTTTCCTGCGATTTATTTCTCAGTACAATCTACTGTCGCGAGAGAAAATATACCACGAGAGAAAGCACGCCCCAGGACTCTTTTCCTTCTCGCGCCACCGTTCGCCTTCGGGTCACCTTTGCGTTGTGGCACGGGAACGCCCTAAGGAAGCCCCGGAAACGTCGTCAACTCGAACGCCCCAATATCGTCAAGTCCAGGTTGCGGGCTCCCACCGCGCCGCGCACATAAGACCGAGAGCTCGATGAGGAACGTTGTACGACGCCGACTGCTGGGCTAGATCTGTCGTCGATCATGCTTTCGAAAACGCAGATATCGGGCGAGCTTACAAGCCTTGAACATTATTCGGTGAGAAATGATTAGGGTATTTAGCGCACGCCCATGTTGTGGGGTTGCGATGAGGACGACGGCGCCGACATTGGCTAACGCGAGGCAGAGGAGAAGAAAAGAAACTTGAGCCAAGATATGGCTACGGTTAGTGACAAATAAACTATAGCTATCTCGAAGTAATCATGCTCTAAATCCCGCTATGTGGCTGCGTACTACTAGAGGAAGCGCACGCCCTAAACTCTCACAGCTTTCTCCCCTTTCGTGAGAAACCTTGGAGTCAGGGTTCCCCTAACGGCTCTTCGTCGCTGAAACCTGAATCTCCGGTAGGGTGATCTTCTTCCACGTTAGGATCTTCCTCATCATAAGTAAAGAATTGGCGCAGACTTCTAGCATGAACGATCATCGGCGCCCCACCTACGACCGGCTTGACAGAATAACATTGTTTACCTATGGCACCAATAATCTCATACTTCTCATCTCAACGGACTGACCCAACTTTGGGTTCCGGTCTTTGGTAATAAGAACAATATCTCCAGCCTCCAACGGCTGAGTACCCGTGCTCTTCTTGCTGCTCTCCACTGCAGCGTGTTGTCTCCTATCCAACCAGAACTCTCGGAAAATTGTAATTGATCACGTCTCTTGAGACGGCGACGGCAGTCAGCTATCACTTGAGCGTTGTACAGCGGGTCCGAGGAGAGAAAATTCGGACGTAATCGTTCCCATTCTTTGGCTGCATTATCATTAGCGGTCAAGAGGCGAGCAATCGGTAGCTTAGACGAGTATCCGTAGACCGTTATTGTATCGAAAGGAGACGGAGCACCATCTTTTGCGGTGGAATTGTTGATACGATTGGCAGCAATACATAACATAAGTTCCCAATCCGGCATCTTGGCATTTTGTAGCACAGAGCGTTGACAGCATCCTAGTACTTTGTGATTCACTTCATAGAATCCTCCAACAGGAGTACTCCTGTTTGGCAGGACTTCATGTCGCATAGCATTCATCAATAATAGTGACGAGAATCCCGGATGGCGACAGAACTGACTTCCTTCGATTTAACTCGTTAACGAAGGTGAAACCGATCCCTGGCGACGTTTAACTTCACTGCAAGTGTTGGTCACAAAGTGACTGTCTTCGTGAACTCCATAGCGAACTCCCACCCAGACCGGTAAGGGACAAATATTGTGTTGCGACTCGCATCTTGCGAGCTTAGCTAAAGAGTGGCTCAATAAGGCTAGACTGAAGCAGATGTTGTAGAAACAGCAACATATTGTTTGTTTTTTATTCCATGGTAGACTGCACAATTGTTGTTAGGCGCAATGTTGTTGACCCTCTACTTGAAGGAGAGGTTGCTGATGATGGCATCTAAGAGATGTTGGTGAAGCAGCTCGTCAAAGAAAAGATACTTTCTACTTTGCTCTTGTCGAACGTCTCTGATGAAGTTGTTAAGAGGATGACTGAGCGTGTTGCCGAAGCCCACGAGGAAGTCTCCAAGCTCCATGCTCTGACCCTTACAGATCAGGCCAAAGCTGCCCAGGGCGCGAAGCCCCGTAGGGTGGAGTCTGAGCAAGAAAAGGAGGATTTCGACAAATTCAAGGATTTCGACATCCAGGATCGATTTGGTCCAGACGTGAAGGTTCCTGCCACGTTGGTGCCCCCTACCGCTTGCTCAACCGTCTATCGAGCTATCACATTGCGGCCCCCGAGTTCTTAGCCAGCGCTGCATCAACTGAGAGACTGATGCAAATACTGAAAGCAAGTATTCAGCAGGCTGAAGATGTTAGTACTGGCAAAGCCGTCTCCGTGCGCACAGGTAAATCTCGTAAAATAACGTCGCTTGCTCAGTGGGTTGAATGTTACATTCGCTGGTGTACCGGAATCTTTATGGTGTGTGGCAAAAAGTCGGGGGTAAACTCTCTTGCCATGCTCAATTACTTATTGAAAGTCATTCAGCTCGCTGAGAAAAGAATTGTTCAAGCAGCTGCGATCTATGACCATAAATACCGTGGTTCCTTAATAGGATACCACCAACAAGGTCACTCGATTGCTGACGTTCTGGAGAAGGATTTAGACCCATGTAGATTTCTGCTCAGTTTGGTGGTTTGGCGGATACTGATCAAGTCTTCGGTAACGACGAGAATAAAAAGTCAAAGAAAGACTCGAAGAGAAAACTTTTCGAACGTGGTGCGTGTATCTCCTACCAAACTGGATCTTGCAACAGAGGGGAAAAATGTCCCTATAAACATGTCTTGCTGAAAGAAACAAAGAAAAGTCGCTCCCTCTTTGACGCTGATGTGAAGAGCCGTCCTTCTGAACCTCGCAGGTCGGAGTCAGAAAACTAGATTCGCGCCCTAAAGCCAAATCGGCAGGGGGAAAATCAATCCAATAAAATCGTTGAATGTGCCACACAAGGCGCGCCAAATCCTGTTTGCTCTATTTTGGAGGGCCAATCAAGCACTTCTGAAGTGGGTTCTCCCCTGAGACCATATATTATCGCTTACCTCTCATCACTGTGTGGCGAAGAGTTCCGTGAGGAATCTGAGATCCTCTTCCAACAGATCAATGAAAGCAGCTTTTTAGGGCAGTGTGAGTCCATTCCTTTATCTCGTCATTAGCTCGAGGCAAAACCCCGGCGCGCTAGAGAGGTGGAGTTACTACTTGAAAATTACGTCTCAGCTGTCGAAAACCACCAATTCCTGTAAGAAATTCTTCAGGAAGAGGTGAATTTGCGGCGTATGACTGTTGTTGGTGCAGCAAGGCAATTCCAAGGTGTCGTTACGCCTGTAGCTTCGATTCCCAAGGGCAGTTGCCCAACGAAAAAGGTTCGTCAAAAGGCGAAGCACTTCCTGGTAATCGAAGACTACAAATGGAGCCATATAAATCAAAAGGCCTCCAAATTTTCGCAGACGTTGTGCCAACCAAAGTACTCAGGTATCCAATCCCTCATCCGAACACTCTTAAAAAAGGTTTATGAACAACGGAAACCCTTGAAAGCCTTCACTCTTGATGTGAAAAGTTTATTCAGAGTCGTAGGTATCAGCTCGAAAGCGGCTTCTAATCTCAACATCCGGCGTGGAAACAAGATTTTCAGACACCTACGCCTAGTCTTTGGTCACCGTAACTCGCCATATTGTTTTCCTCGAGTTGCGGGAGCTGTTCACCGAGCTATAGTCTCGTTGCTTTATACCTGGTCTTTAGAATCTTGCTTGGACTTAACTAGCGGCCTTCTGTATGTTGGTGATATGTTGTATGTAGGAACAGAACGAACTATTCTGCTATCCGTGGCCTCGACTATCCTGATCTGGAATATCTGCGGTCTCACCCTGACCAACGAGAAGATTAGCGTTGGCGAGGTTACCAAACTTTTGGGCTTCCAAGTGACAAAGCATCATAACAATCATTGTAACATTTGCGTGTGATAAGCCCCAAGCTGTCGTCACAGCTCCTTACTCAAAAATCATTGAGCTTCTGAGACTCACCCATCAGATTCTGTCCAAAGGACGAATAACACCTAAGCGGTTGTCAATGCTCACAGGAAATCTGGTTTGGGATATCCATTGCTCAAGCCGTATCTTGGATCGTGTTTCCAATGTATTGCTATGCTAGAACGCAAAGCCTTGGCGTGTGCCAGGCTCCCCTGCATACTTTGAGAGGATCTCAGGTTTATCGAGAAGTTCTTCCGGGCCACCACACCCGAAAGTCTCTATTTAGAAATGCCAGCTGAGCCTAGTAATCCAGAGTCTGTAAGACTGGTTGGTTGCAACGCCTTCTTGCATTCGTTAGCAGGATTTGTCTACTGTTGTCGAACTTGACGCTATTGGAGCTCCGAGGTGGTGCTTCGAAGCTACCTATCAAACCTAAGAAGAACTTAATCAAGGCTAAGTCCAACTCCAGTCATGCAGACATCTGTGTGCTGGAACTATTAGCATGTCTGGCACCTTCGTACCTGTTGGTGAACAGTCAAGACCACTCTCATCCCAAACTTATGAACTGCCCTATAGTTGTCCAATCAGACAATGAGGGAGCAGTCAAGATCATCCGAAGGATGTTCAGACGGAAACCACCTTTGAGGTGGCTCTTGAAGCAGGCGGCCCACTTTTTGCCACCACTAGTGTCATATCTGTCGGTACATCACATAAGTGAATCAAGAAATATTAAGACGTAAGCGCACACGTGCTAAAGTATTACAACATGCGAAACCATCGGGCAAAGCCCTTGCTGCCTTTCTTGAGGGCTCACTCGATGTCAGTACTCGTGCTGCTTATAACAGTGTCACCTCGATCTATGAGAGGTTTATCTCGCCCGAACCGGCATTCCCGCTCAAAATTGAGCATTTGCAGAAATTCATCTGCAATATGACCAAAACGACTGGCGGCGAACATGATTATAGGTACTCCACGATCAAGACCTACATCAAAGCTTTGAGGTCTCGAAACGCTTTCCTTGGCTTCTCTCTTGATGGCTCTGCTGAACATGGGCTGAAAGCGGCTCTACATGCCGCGAAGCGAGCCCTCAGTCCCGAAGCCGAGGACAGAAAGGTTCCATTAAGTCTCCACGGAGTGGAGAGGCTGAGCCCCTTGAGTATAGTGTGAGGTTTGAGAGCAGACCTTAGAACTATGCAAGTTGAGAGCTTATATGCCATCTTTGGACTACTTCGCGCGCGTGAAACACTGTCAATACTCAGCGAAGATGCCGATGTGAGACCCAACATGGTCATTATCACTATCAAACAGTCAAAGACTGACCAAATTGGAGTGGGGCAAAAGGTAAAAGTCGGCTGCGTCGGCTGCATCACCGCTACCATACTGTGCTTCCCACCGCCTTGCTGCCTGGATTGCCATGAACCTCTTCAGAGATAAAGACTTACTCTTCCCGAGTTTGAACTATGCCGACTAGCTGGAGGGACTACAAGTCGCTCTGCAATTCCTCAAAGGGTCTGCAAACCCTGACCAATGGACTCTCACAGACTTGGGCATCTCGGCACCGGTGTTACTTTTCCACATCACTCAGACGGGTAAACCGATCATTGGCGACGATTAACTTCACTGCAAGATATTGATGCTCGACCAGTCCGTGCGGCAGAGAGCGTCACCTTTTTGTACATGCGTACAGTGAGTCGCGTTACCTTGTTGCCAGTTTCCTCGCTAAACTACCTTCTGACCTTCTTGAGGGAGCTGTCAACCGCATCCTGAGAGAGGTCCCGAAAGAAGGGTCGCCGATATGGGAGGATTACGTCCGGGTTCACAGCACGGCTCCTGCCCCGAGGTTGTCACCAGCGGTTGACCTATGTCAAATGGTACGGTCGGTTTGTAAAGTTGCGGAGGTGACCCATCACCTACAACCTAAAGCGTCACCAGATCGAATTCGACAAGTGTCGGATAACCAAGGATATCTACGGCGCGGACCTACCATCACTGAGTGGGCATCTAACTTCCCGGAGGGATCGGTCGTATACTTCCGCACTGATAAGGCGATCTCCCCAGAGTCGATCCGCAAGACCTTCAGTGATCTCGGTGCTAAGGAAGTGCGGGCTCATGTCCATAAACGTGGGCACCGTTACGGGTTCGCTACCTTTGACAACGAGGCCGAGGCCCCCCGTTGATCCACAACGGTGCTACCGCGAGCTCCGAGGGGACGTCTTAGGGTTTGAAGATCCGAGCATTCGTCCCGGGGGGTAATCGTGGTAGGCCAGTTATGAAGTCGAGAAACTAATTGAGGCTCTATCTCCGAGAGGGGGTGATGGGGCCTGCGACACTACCAACGTTCACGGTGGACTTACTGATCCATGTGACTACGTTTATGTACCACATAACTCCTCTTTGCATGTTGATAAAACCCCTCATACCGTTAATTTAAGTGCAAGCCGTAATACTTGCTTCGATTCGGGTACCAACCCTAATATCATTGACGATCCGTCACTCCTTTGTGCATGTGAGTATTCAATATCGTCATCAGATTCCGAAAACCGTGTACATTCCGATAGACCTTTACTGGGCGCTGTGTCTAACATTACTGTGACTCCCCCCACAGTTGGTCCACTTACTGAATCTGAAACTGATTGTGTGAACTATGGCTCTTCAGGGCCACTACCGGAGATCGTATTATCGGGATCTTTCGATCATCATAATGTACAACTCATTGTCGACTCTGGTGCTGGTTTCTCTTATATCTCTAGAGTAGATGGAGAATATATGAAGCTCGCTCCTTGTGAAGCAAGCCCAGTTACCGTTAAGGTCGCTAATGGAGAATACGTCCAAGTGTCAGAGGTGCTCTGTGGACAGTTACTTCTGAAGGACTCGAGTGGGGAAGTCGTATCTCCCCCTCAGTCGTGTGAGGTTCGTATTCTACCTATCCAGAGCAGTGTAGGCAGCTCACATGTACCTTCTATTCTCTTGGGGCGTGATCTACAACGGTCCTTCCACCTTGTTATAGATGGTGGCGAAAGGGTATTCTTGTCAGGCGTCTGTATATTCGATGCTCAGATGTCACGTACAGAACCAACGATATATTCTTACGTTAACGATTATCTGCGATGCATCGAGCCCACGCCATTACCTGACCTTAGATCGACCCAACCATCAGCAGACTCGTTTGTCAACCTACCATGTCCGTCGAGTGCTGTTCGTCCTCTGGATGAGTTATGCAAAAGCCTATGTAATGTCGTCCCGTTCGGGCCCGATGACCGAGGGTATGCGACTGGGCTACGCAAGCTGC